GAGAGAGTGGAGAATAATTTGCTTATTGGGTATGGGGTTTCTTTTTGGAGTGAGGAAAATCTTTTGTGACTATAAAGATATGGTAGTTGTGCAACATTTGAATGTTCTAAACACCGTTAAGTTCTTTACTTTCAAATGTTTATCTCTGTGAATTTTACCTCACTTAAAAAAAGAATAAAAAATAATCAGAAATAAATATCTTATAATTTAATACATAGTATTTAGAGCTGTTTAATGAATGTTTCATGGTAGTATATGATTCCATGTTTACCTACCAGTGCTGCCTTACATTTGAAAAGGTCCCATTACAATGATACCCATCAAAAAGACAGACATTACAGATTGTCAGACAGTAAAATATGTGGTAAAACTACAATACTTCAATTGGGTTGGGAATTATAGATGTAAAACAGACAGATAATCCAAGAAAGAAAGTGACAACAAGAAGACCATAAAATACATGAAATTTTCATATGTGACAGGGGGACTGTTGTACACAAACTAGTGGATTAGAGAAAATCTTCTGATAAATAATTATAACATAAATTTGTCTGGATATTCATGTCAGGTATCATACAATAAAATAAATGTCAAAATGCTCAAAGATTTAAGCATTAAAAAATTAAACTAAAAAAAGAAAGTAAAAGGTTTTCAAAATTTTGTATGATTTTCAAAATTCTGTGTGATTGGAATTTCTAAGCCTAAAAATCCAAGCTTAAAATTATAATGGATAATTTGTTAAAGACAATCACTTTTATCCATTTTGTATTTAAAAAATGGAAAAAGAAATGACAAACAAGAATTGTAATTTACATACTGCCTTTAATAATAACTAACTTTTCACATTTATATTTGTCAACTTGGTTTTAAATTTCTGGAGAGTGCAGCCTATATATATATATATATATATTTTTTTTTTTTTACAGTTTTCTTCCACTACAAAAAATTTAAAATACCTGAATCAAGTTTTCGATGAAAAGTAGATTTACATCATACCTATATTTGTTAATATAATCTACTGTGGACCTGTTCAGTGGAATATACTGCATGCTATTAAATGGCTAGAAGAGAGGAGATCAAATGTCCACATCACAAAGAAATGACTAAGTTTTGCAATGATGAATATGCTAATTACCTCAATTTGATCATCACACATGTGTCAGTGCATTGAAATATAAATATGTACCTTACAAATACATATTATCAATATGCTTCAATAAAAAAAATATTTTTAAAAAAAATATTTTTCAAATTTAGAGTCTGAAAGGTTAAAACTAGTAGAGAGCAAAGCCTTGAGACATACCTGTGTGGTGTGCAGCTCCTGAGGCACACTGGCCTGGGCCCTCACCACTATTTCCTCTTGTGCCATTATTCATGTTCAAATTTCCAATTTCATCATGCTGGGTGATATTAGAATTATTTGCTTTATGGCATTTTAGCAACACTCCCTGAGAAACTTCAATGCAGAATTATTTTAAGGTTAGGTAAATATCTTCTCTATGCAATGTCTCAGAAATAAATTCTTTGGGATGATGCTGATGATTGGAACAAGAAGGAATTGAAGGGATAGCTCCCTTTAAAATTCTTCAAGTCTACTTAGTAAAAATTAATTTTAAATATTACATAATCAATTCATGTATAGAACACATATTTGTTGAGGGTTTATTCTGCTCCA